TATGTTATGTTGTGTTGTGTTGTGTTGTGTTGTGATATGTTATGTTGTGTTGTGTTATGATATGTTATGTTGTGTTATGCTATGCTACGCTATGTTTTGTTGTAACATACATAGCATAGCAGGATGTAACATGGCCTGTGTTTTAGGCCAACATTGTAAATAAGAAATGTTTTGCCTGTTGAAATAACGGTTAAATAAAAATAAAACTAAATAAAATTATGTTGGTATGTAATGATATGTTGTTATGTTATGTTATGCTATGCTACATAACATAACATAACATAACATAACATAACATATAACATGACAAAACATGGTTAAATTCTTTATTTTTCTGTAAGACTGGAACAAACGTTTCATACGACATTTAATTTGAATCAAGATGAAATAGATTTCAAACTAACACAGAGGTTTACACGGAAACAAATAACGCTTTAACTTTAACAAAACATGCCAGTTTTTACAGTGCATTATAAGCTGATGCAGAGCAACATCCCAACTTTTCTTTTACACCTGAACACTTTTATATAAGAGCTTTCTTAGAGTTCTCATGTGGTCCTCTGCAGGTACAAAACCTTCATTGTGAGAATGCTGAGTCAGCAATCAAATTTCACACACTTCCTGCTTTTTTAACCATAAATCATAAATCAAAACAATTGTGAATATTATGTTGGGAAATTTAGTGTAACTGTTATATTTCTTGAATTGCTTGGGTGGATTTTAAGGTGGCGCTGTGGTTGGTGCCAGGATCTGGTCCTGAGATCAGGACCTCACGCAGGCTGCGTCAGGAAGGCCATTAGCCTAAATAGTTTCTAAATATCTTGAGCAAGTTCACACACTGTGGCAACTTCTGCTACAGGAAGCAGCCAAAACAAGCAAACAAATTAAATAATTGTTTAGATTTTATTCACAAAATAAACTCTCTAAATATAATAAAAATCTTTACAGCTCCTTCAGAAATGTTGTTCTCTGAAATCTGCTTCAACATATTGTTCTTTTTGCTCATTTTAATTTTTAGCTAAGATTTTTCAAATATTAGCTTGCAGCTACTATTGCTCTATATAGCTATTAGTTAGAATAAGACAAATTTTTGCTTTTAGCAACAGTAAAGCTGCATTTTGCAACTATTCCGCAGCTGTGATGGAGTGGTTAGGGAGAGTTGTCCTGTAACTGGTGGGATGCTGGTTCAACCCCTGTTTCCTCTGCCTCAGTCGTTGTGTCTATGGTCGAGACACTTTGCCTGCCTTACCTGATGGTGATGCAGGTGTGGCTAACTTACCACCATCAGTGTGTCAATGTGTGTATAATTGTACAGTATAATGCATGAGAAATTGTAAAGCGTTTTTGACAGGGGCAGAGCAAGAGGGGGGCCAGTTTGGCAAGTGCCCCCTCTGGCATCTGATTGGCTGCCTCATGTGCCACCCACAAATAACTGACAAGTGTGTGGGGACCATAGATAGGTATTTAAAATTCTCATCCGTGCATGTTTAAAATTGGCTAAATTAAATGTAAAATTAGCATTAGCTTAATTTTGGGATTAGCACGGGCAATCAAGATGTGACCATTCTTAGCAACTCCACAGCAAATTTCATCTCAATAAGCATTGAAAAGGCTGAATTGCAGCAGGAAAAATAAGTATTGAACACGTCACCATTTTTCTCAGTAAATATATTACTAGAGGTGCTAATGACATGAAATTTTCACCAGATGTTGGTAACAACCCAAGTG